CCCCAAAACCCCAAAACCCCAAAACCCCAAAACCCCAAAACCCCAGAATAAATAGATACAGTTGAAATATTAAATATGGAAACTTATGGTGGCGACTTTCAGCATAATATACAAATAGCAACTGCTGTCAGAATCAAACCAATTGACGCTCTCCAAACTGCTCAAGGTAACATAGCTGCTCACTCTTCAGATTGAGTACTCGACATTGCAGGGTGTCCTTCCAGTAACACAGTGACTTGCACGCCAGCTTCTTTCTCTGCTGCACCCAGCGGTATCAAGTATTTGACCCATAGGCCCCAAAGTGTTCAGTGTCAATCGTGTGTTCGACGAGTACTCGACCCAGCAAGAAGTGTACTCGGATGCAGTGGCTTCAATGGTTGAGTCATTTCTGGGTGGCTGTAGTTCGACTGTGATGTGTTATGGAGGAACACAGACTGGCAAGACTCACACCCTCAGGTATGTATGTGTTACAACATGTAGCTCACAAGCTGAATCTGATGGAGAGAAAGAGTACACACCAGGAATGATAGAGCTGAGTCTGAGAGAAGTGTTCAGTAAGCTTCACAAATTTGATAAATACTTGCTGAGGTTTGAATACTATATGGTTTGGAATGAGACCCTTTACGACTTATTTGATGATGGAGATTATTCAAGAGAAATTAAACCAAAAGATTCAGACTTCAAAGGGATTTATGGTGTAGAATCGATCGAGCAAGCATTGGACCTTATAGACCAAGCCAACCTAAAGTACAGATTATTTGTTCTATTCTTAAAATCATAAATCGAGTTCGATTGTTTTCATTTAGAAGCTACAAACTCAGAGCTGACCTCGACATGAGAAGAGTCCACATGATTCTGAGAATGAGCCTTGATGTGATCGATCATGATGAAGATGGGCCCGAAATCAGTCACAGCGTCTTGTCTTTTGTTGACTTGCCCAGTTGATCTAGAGTGCTTAAAACAGGTGCTAGCAATAATTTATTAAAAGAGTGACAGAAGGTTTCACAATCACTATCTGCTATTTGAAATGTATTGTGGTGACTAAAAGAAAACAAACGTCATATCCCATTCAGAGATTCAAAAACAACTTATTTACTGAGTGATTCGTTAAATAAAAATTCGAGAGTTCTAGTGATTGGTTGAATTTCTTTGGTAGACAATCTTTCGTATGATTCTCTATCCACTCTTCGATATCTATCTCGGTTTCAGACTTCAAATCAGCAACCTGAAGCATTGATGAATTCAAGGTATCCCAAGTGTATATCTTATAGAAATTCTACTCTTGTTAAGCTCATTTTAATTTCAAAGAAGATCAATGTAACTCATGAAGAGAAGGAGATCCCACAGGTTGAAACATGCCTCAAGAGTTTATTAGAAGTTTTGAGCTCTGACTCAGACTTGCCTGAGCCATTATCAAAATCTATCAAGTAAGGCTTCAACTTTGTGGTTTGTACCATTGTGTATAATATTCCATCAATGTTCATACTATTTTAATTCATTCTTTTAGTTGGCATTTTGGGAATAAAGGAAGAAAATTACTGTCCAGCTTGATTGAACGAATCCTTGAAGGAATATTTTCAGAAAAAAATTGGGTGGCAACCAGAAAAGTTAAGACTATTTATTCAATTTGTTCAGAATAAATAGGGGTTTTGGGGTTTTGGGGTTTTGGGG